GTCATGAGTTCTTAGAATTGCACAGATTTACCAAAATTAACGGAAATATGAAACTGCGTAGACAAATTACCCCGGGTCGACAAATCTTCTTAATAAAAAAAAAACGATTTATTTTCACCGACTAAAGAAGCTCTTTGGCGAGTGTTCCATGAAATATTCAGACATTTTGAAATGGGATTAATCTTTGGTTTAAGATCCACCCTCAGTAATTGATCTCAGCGTTACTTGACGCCATCTCAATTTAAAACGGATCCCCTAAGTCGTTGCAGACTTTTTCTACATTCAAGTCACAAGTACTAATACATTGACTATATGTTACTAGGCAACAATAAAACACTGCTTCGCCACTTTTGCATGTGTTTGTCACACTGGAAGACGCACTCGGCTCATGCTTTGAAGTACATGGCTAACACCGCATGTATTAGTAGAAATGTTGGGGTGTATACAATTACATTATATAGCAGTACTTTCCAGGTGTTGACAAGCGTCGAACTTTTACCTTTACTTGATATATTTGACTTTAACCGTATGCAAATTTTGAAATACACCAAGCACATTGTGGTTTAACAAGAGCGCAACTGAGATTCCTAGTTGCCGGCGTGCCAATGAAAAATGCATTGCTCGCACACACATATTACTAACTATACTTCTCATCTATCGTTTCCCCTTGATTTCTGATTCCACGAGGCAAATTTTGCATTAAGGTTTTATAAGATGTCGGAACAGTCATCAAGGTACCTATCTATCACTGCATTATAATTCCTGCATCGCTCGGTGTGCCGGGTGGTTCGGACAGGTGATAGCTAATATAGACTGTGGAGGGGTAATGTCAGTGACATTTTCACTTAAAACGTCAATGTGCATTACCTCGACAGATATCACCTTAACATCACCTCGATAACAGCGCGCCTTAAAGTGTGTGTCGGGGAAAAGCAGCTGTCGGTGCTTTTTAGATAAGCAATGCTACAGATCTAGAGGTGCGTTCCAGATTCCTAGAGCATTGCATTGCTTACGTTGTATTTTCTGTCACCAAGTTACAATTTCATACGCGCACAATATATTATAATATGTTCCTATTTTGTTAATTCTATATTTGACTAACAAAATAGGACTCATATGGTCAGTGTGACTAAAATTTACAACCAGTAGTAAAAAAAATATATCGAAGGTAAACGACTAATGCGACTCCTCGTATAAACATCTCGGGATGGTAATTGCACTATATCCCTCGTGAGTATTAACTAGTCGATATACATGTAGCTGCGTGTTCACAGAATTCACGAGACATAACTAATTATATTCAAAGCGCCGAAGTCGTTGCAGCGTGTCGTGTTCGATATGGGTTCCAGGCGACGGGTGCTACGCATGTAATATACCATGTCTGTGTGCATGCGTAATTCGAACTCTGCGTGACGATTGTATATAATTAATATCGAATACAAGATTGCTAGCTTTGCCCCTTATGAGTCATTGTCAGAATATAAAGAAGAACCACTCGCTGATCTCATTATACGATAACCGAGAGGTTCGTTAAAATTTTGAATATCTTGAAGCGTCACAGGCGTCACGCAGTACGCGTTCTGAATTCACAATGACGGTGGGGGGGGGGGGGGGTTCGAATGCCAGGAACGGCTGTGCAGTAAGGGTGGACGTTACTGATACAGTCTTCACAACATAACACTGAAATTCTTCCAATGAAATAAATTTAAGACAAGTGATTTATTACTTATCAATCACGTGTTTTGCTAGTAAAGTCACATGTTTATTCGTAATTTGGCAACATCCTGGCAATTCGACAACATAATACCTCGAGAGAAATAAAAAAAAAAAAAAAAAAAAAAAAGCTGCTCTCTGATTGGTCTGACTGACAAGTGTTAGAATTAGCTAGCCAATCAGGCATAGTCTTGTAAGCACCTTTGCAATTACTCCACGTCTGTAACATGCACCTGAAAGTGCACCTGTTATATGTCGCTCGTTCTAATTGACCGAGATTTTTACCAACCATTGATTCTTACTGCCTCCAATTATTTCCATGATATTACCCGCGGGGATATCCGGAAATGTAATGCACAATCCAGGAAGTCTAATAAATGGATAAGCAAGACATGTTTTTAAGTTCACCATGACGCCATCCGTTTTTTTTTTTGATTAGTTTTTTGCACAATACACAGGTATGTGTGTATATAGATAAGAAATTGACATCTCGTGACAAGTAGCTCAGTCCAACTCGAGTGTAATTACTGTAAAAGGATTAATTATTCACTGGGTTTTAATTTTGCTTATTTCGCTGACTGGAAAATGCGCAAAATTAAAACCCAGTGAATATGTAACATTTAGCATAGAACACATTATCTAAATGATAAAACCGTGAATTTAAAACCCACCGAATATGCCTGAAATGGTAAATCAGTGAAATTTAAACCTAGTGAAAATTAGTCATTTTACAGTAGTTGAAGAAAGAGGAATGTTAGGGTTGAACAATAATAACTGGGGTGACTAGGCTTTACTCAACGACAAATTGAGCATAACAAATCTAATGAATGGATGCACAATATTTTTCAGGAAGTCTGCCCTCCCCAGCGTGATAATTTACCTCCATGAATCAACAAACGCCGGAGAGTTATCACTGCAGTGTGTCAAATACAAGGAGAGTATTGACCAGATGTCGCGAAATTAATTAAACAAATATTGAAACTTTCAATTAAAATGCCGGTAGTCGTTACGTCTGATGTCGGCGAACACATGGCCTCGATGAAAAGACAGAAAGTACAGTTGCAGTAACTACAGTTTTATGATGTAAAAATTACTAAGCCAGACAGGTAATATTGTTAGATATCTCCAATGTCATGGAAGTGTAATGCCGGTATATGTTAATGATTTGGTATATGATTCCATTTTTTCACCTTGTTACATAGTTACTTATGTTTTAGTGGCGTACGTGCATATTCAAGTTAATATTATTATAATCTTTCACTTCATTAAGTCACGGATTCATTCGTTTCACATTCATTCATTCATTGAATTCAGTAATGTGTGCTATTTGACCACCCACTCTTTGAACAAATAGCGTCCACATTACCCGAAGCATAGAAGAACCTTTGTAATTTAATCGCATATACTTGATGATCAGAATTTTGTTCTTAATTACAATTATATATCAGGCTAAACAAAATCTGACAGTTTCCATCGGTTTATTTTCTTTTCTTCAAATATACATTTGATTAAATAGAAACATACAATAAATAGTCGCATCGACATACACCAGGAAATTACGAGGCGACCCGGAGCACTAGAGAGGCTAAAGGTCGACAGTTCAAAAGGCAACATACATATACACACACACAGCCGACGCAAACAGAAGTAATTAATGTCACTTTCCATTCAATGACAGGAGTTCCCCTTTCTTCATATTGAAGTAACATAATGGAATTGCATATACAATATAAGTTGTAATAATGCAATGCATAGCTGAGTGCTTTTTTTCATTACGGATCATGCATATAGCAATATTGACACGAATATGGAGTATATTATGAACAGGGTAATAGTAGAACGGTAGAGAGCCTCTGATGAGTATTTACTAACGACTGTGGATCAAGCAAATATATATGTATGTGTGTGTATATGTGTTCCATCATGATTTACATAGACGAGCTCAAGTTCACAGTCAGCTGGCGCACACGTGTTAATAAAATAAATGCGATATTTACTATATGGAGGCCGCCATCTTGAATGCGGCATAAAACTAAATAAGAGACTAGTTGTGAAACGCGTTTTTCAGATTCCTACAAATCAGGACAAAACGCAAATCGTTCACAGAAATACGATCCGTTGGGCTTATATTAAGCCAACCGATAAAAAAATTCTTAAATACCAACATTAATTACCCGAAGAACATAGAACACTTTCCTGGGGTATTTGAAACCACAATTTGTCATTCAAGCTCAGCAGACAATCAGCGACGGCCTTACAGTTAGATGACAATTTCGGTTTCACATACCCCGACTTAGTGTTCTAGGTTCTTCGTGTAATTAGGTGTTCGTATG